CATAAAATACAAAAATAAAGTTAATCTAGTCAAGCTTTTTTTCAAACTACCCCCTTAAAGTTGAAAAACCACCCCTAAAAAATTGTTTTCAATACATTACAGGTGGTGTTGATAATTTAGTGTAAAATTTGTTAAGTATCATTTATAATGTACAAAAACAACTATCTCGTGCAGTTTCGACCACAAGGGTTGCAACCCCTAATTTCTGTCATCGAAATTTTTACCTTCTTTGTACCTATTTTTGAAAAAAAGTTTATAATGAGCTTAAAAAAATTAGAAAAAATATTACCATGGATAGAATAAGAAAAAAAAATTTACTTCTCATTTTTAAAACCACCCCTAATTTCGAAAAACCACCCCCAAAAAATTGTTTCCAATACATTACAGGTCCTGTTGATAATTTACTGTAAAATACGTTGCTCATCACTTATAATGCACAAACACATTTATCTCGTGCAGTTTCGACCACGAGGGTTGCAACCCCTAATTTATGTCATCGAAATTTTTACCTTCTCCATTCCTATTTTTGAAAAAAAGTTCATAATGAGCTTGAAAAAATTGGAAAAATTATTATCGTGGATAGAATACGAAAAATATGTACCAATTCAAGATTATATCACCTAACAAGACCCAGAACTGGGACAACGTTTTTCCAAAGTATTTTGTTGCGCCGATTCCGAATCTGTCCGGAAAAATGATCCATCACCCAGTAGCAATTTCTAAAACTCCCCTTATATCCCAATGGCAATTTCCCGCACTAACCCGCACTATCAGAATGCTTACAACCCCCCCTAATAACCCCCTAAAAACCTCCAATGAAAATGCCGTTAGCCCCCCACTAATAGCCCGAAGACATAGCTGAGCCCCCTTGCAACCTTATGGCAATGCTTGCAACCCACCGAATAACATAATGGCAACGTTATCAACCCTGCTAACTACTGGGGTTATTAGGGGGTTATTAGGGGGAGGGTCTTATTGGGGGGGGGGGGGGAGTTATTAGGAGGTAAATGGGGGGTTGTAAGCAATGCCATTGGGGGATATTAGGAGGGTTATTAGGGGGAGGTTTATTACCATCGCCATTCGGTGATTAGGAGGGTTGATAGCATTGCCATTGTTTTTGTTAGTTGAGTTTTTCTCCTTTCTTGTGACTGAAATTGTAAACTGCCAAGTAATATATATTTAATGGATTTTTATATGCGTTACTATAATTCATTCAGTTACCAATTAAAAACAATCAAAAAAATTAGGACGGATTTATTGTTCATACTTCTTACAATAATGATATTCTTCATAGAAGTGCTCGAAACATAATGATTTTTTGCACCAACCGCAACGTATAATAGCCACATTTTTGCATCCTTCTATGTCACAATGTATATTGCAGGAATTTCCAAAACTGTAAGCAACAGGATTGTCAAAATTTTCTGGTTTTTTAGTGAGGTAACCACTCTTGAACCAGGAATATTTAAAAAGATTAGTATATCTTGGTGAAGATAATTGATTGTGGACTAACGACTGAAGTTTAATAATGTGGTTTCTTTTATGTAAATCCAAATCATAATTCATCAAAATTACGGTATCTGAAAATTGGCGGACAAAGTTCTTCCATATGCGAAATCCAAAAACATCAAGTGGCTGAATTTTTCCTATTGTGCCAGTCAGTATTTTTTTTAAATTTATAATTTTATCACGTGGAGTTACAGTTTCTATGGCACTGTCACAATGACCGCTCCAGGAGTCAAGCAACAGCATCGTATTGGAACCTACATTAGGGAAATATACTTTTTGCAGCCATATTTTAAAGAGATCTAAAATCAAAAATCTTATTGTAAAATCATTTATAATGACATTAATTGTAACTAGATGGGATTATGTATACCTGTAGTCAACTTTCCAGATTTAGATGCTTCTACGTAAACATTTTCGGGTCTAAATAAAGTGGTTTCAACAATGGGTCCAAACTCACCGCTAGATTCCTTCAAAACTAAAAAGAGTGGTGACAGTAATTCTCCTGTGGCTGATATGAGTGGCTGTATAGTATAACTGTGGGTTGTTGAAGAAACTGACTGTACTAAACACTGTACCTGCTTTTCTCCTTCAACCACTAGCGTTCTTCCGGAGTGCATTTCCAGTTGGAATCCGCTCTGATCAGAATTAAACACATTATGAATTCCAATTATTCTTATGCCTGCTTTAACATCAGCAATAAAAGTATTTGCTTTAATCGTTAGTTCTGAATTACTTTCTAGTGTTTTCTTGGTTATAAACTTATTTATTTTCCGGGATACTATTCTATGAGCTTTCTTGAATTTACAAAGCCAGTTATCCGAAGCTTTGAATCTTACATCTTCTGATCCTATAATCTTTTGAGCTTGCAATGCCCATCGACGTATGTCACGATCATGAATGATGTAACCAGCGTCTACTGTTGCTTTAAAATTATCAAAAGTGTACTGACAAATTCTTGCAATTTTTTCTCTATAAGTACCACCTTTGTTGACTGTATGAGCCCAACGTTTCAACTGACTCACAGATGAAACTTTCTTAAATTTTTGACGTACACTTTCAACACTTAAATTTTTTTTTTTGCCACTTCTCCAGTATTCTACGGCTCTTTGCTTATATTCAAAACTGACATCTTCATTGTCTTTGGTACAATGGTCGGTGGGTGCTTCGAAATCGTCAGGAAAATGGTGTTGAACTTCATCTTCTACTATTTTTGCAGCATGATCTTTGTAATCTTCTTGAAAATCTAATGTATCTTCAACGATCATATCTACTTCATTAAAATCATTCACGGAATCTATTAAAATGCTTTTAATTCTTTCCGACAATTGAATCTCTTTATAATTTGTCTCACTTTCAGGTATTTGTAGAGTTTGAAAGTAAGCTAATAATAAATTTAAAACGTTCAGAGCGTTAATTTTCATTTTTTAATCTGAAATAAAAAAAAATATATATATATATCTCATATATCTTCTATTATATTAAACAGAAGGCGCGTAATTCTCCGTGCGTCCGTTCATCCATCCGTCCCCTTTTTTTCCTTATTTTTCCTCTGTATAGGTCTCTCCTGATATCGCTGGGGAATAAGAACTAAACTGAATAACAAATAAACAAATTAGGATAAAAACAAATAAATAAACAAATTGATAAGTAAACAATAATGATAAACAAACTTATAGAAAACATTCATGAAAAAAATTAATTAATAAATTAAAAAGTAAACATATTAATTAATAAACAATAATAATAAACAAATCAATAAGTAAACAATAATTATAAACATCATTAATTAATAAATCCTCATAATCAGTGTAATTTCAATTTTTTTAATAACAAATATTAAAAAGCCGTAAAATTATTTGCATATAAAAAATAATTTTATAGTTATACTTACGTAGCAGGTATTACGAAATACGAATTAACGAAATAGTATCTTATTATTATTTGTACTTATAATCTTATATTCTTATTACTATTTATTATGCTGTTAGTTCAATAGTCGATACAATACGTCCAACAACAAGAAAGTTGTGTTGGCTACTGATGAAGAATTACTTACTCATATCCCACAGAGCATGAATTAATTCACAGAATTAATTCTTGAATTAACGCAAAGAATTAATATCAAAATAATTTTCTAAGAAAAGAAAATTATTTCTTAATTAATACATGAAATATTACAAAGAAATATTCTAAAATTCTATTAAAAATAATTCAGGTAATGATTCCTGTAAAAATAAACAAATTAATACATGAATTAATTTAGAAAGGATTTTGAAAGGAATCATGAATTAATTTACAAAATAAAACTAAAATAATATCTTGAAATAATTTAAAACTATTTCAAAATTATTTCGTGATATGATTTTTGTAAAAATACATAAATTAAATCATTCATTAATGTTGAATTAATCCAAGAAATATTATAGGTTTTAATCTCGAAACTAACGCAACAAATGATTCTGAATTCATTTAAAATTAATTCTTAAATTATATGAAAATGCAAAATTTCGATTCACCCAAATTATTTCAGAAAATAATTCAAAATTATTTCTGAATTAATTCGTGATATGATTTTTGTACAAATGCACTAATTAATTTACGAATTAACGTACCGATAATCAAAGAAATATTATAGGTTTTAATTTCGAAATTAACGGAAGGAATGATTCTGAATTAATTCTGAATTAATTTTTGAATTAAATGAAAATGCAAAATTTCGATTCACCCGAATTATTTCAGAAAATAATTCAAAATTATTTCTGAATTAATTCTTGATATGAATTTTGTAAAAATGCACTAATTAATTTACAAATTAACGTACCAATAATCCAAGAAATATTATAGGTTTTAATCTCGAAACTAACGCAACAAACGATTCTGAATTCATTTAAATTTAATTTTTGAATTATATGAAAATGCGAAGGTTTGATGCATCTGAATTATTTCAGAAAATAACTTAAAATTATTTATAAATTAATTTGTGATATAATTTTGTACAAATATACAAATTAATTCACGGATTAACATACAGTTAATCCAAGAAATATTATTATTATTACACATCTTTTTCATAATAATTTTTCGAATATATATATTGTTCTAAAAATTTTTATAAAATAATTATTATAATATTACATTTATTCATTCATATTCACATAGATATTAAATAATTCTGATATATATATATATATATATATATAGTTTGAATCATAAATTTACTAGGCTCTCCATTGCAAAGGTAAGTGGCTGCTCTGGCATTGCCAGAAGAATACGCTACTCTGCTGACGCTTAAGCCTAAAATTGGTAGACGTTAAACAATTTAATATTAATATAATTCAAAGTTTTCAGTGATATAAATTTAAATTTGTACGAAGTCGGTAACTTAGGAGGGTGATTTTTACCCGTATACAGTGAAATAAATCAACGTCAAGTCAGAAGTATTAAACTAAGGAGAGAATGAAGCGCATGCGTCATGCGCAATATGCAGGATACCAGAACCGGCTTTTTTTACACTTGCCGCAACCTTTTCTTACCAATACCGTGCTCGTTGTGTCATTTATAGTTGCTCTGTAATTAAGAGTTTGCATGACAAATTCATAAAATCAGGTAATTAATCCATATATATATATAATTATTATATTTTATCTATAAATTATATAACTTCATATTCTATCTTGTCATTAAAATTCTAACGTATATTTGTATAAGCTGTGAACGGCACCTTTTTTTTATATCTTTACTTCAATTTTATGCGTAATTAATATATAAAATCATTTATATATTTAATTTATTTAGATTTATAAAAAGTTTATTTATGAAAGTTATGATTTGTTATACCATTTTCTAAGTTTTCATTTTAACCTACAAATTTTATAAGATTAATATACAACAAATTGTATTAATTATTTTAAAATGTTTTTTAGTGAACGACATAATTTCATGATAAAGTTATTATTAGTTACATATAGACAATATATAAACTGCTATATATTGTTGTTTAGATTACTAAAATGTATTTTTATATGAAATACTTTGTATACTTTCTCTATACATTTTTATCATCTGGCTTTTTCTTTTAAATATTTTTTCACGTTTGCTTAAAAACTTATCAACTTTATTTAGTTTTGTTTATTTAAATTACAAGATTTTAAACAACGTTTATTCTACAGGTGTTAAAGCCATTAATTTCTGCTTCAATTGCTGACTTCCACAACACCAAGGTCTCTCTCGGCTGTGCAGCGGATGAGAAAAATTTTCTTTTGCGCTGTCTCCAATTTGTATTTGTATATTGAGGTAAACGGTTATTTGTATTTTTCTAATGATTAATATACTCTCTGTATACTTCTTTTTAATGTCCTACTTCTCTTTTTCTATAAAACCGTTTTTTATTTCTCAAAATTTGCCACTTTATTTAGTTTTATTTACTTATGTTTAAATGTTATAAATATTAAATAATTATTTGTTTATAGGTGTACAGCCTCTATTTTATTGTGAACTTGCTGAGAGATTGCAAGGTCCCTTTCATAGATTACGTTGATTGAGAAAAATTTTTTATAACGCTGTCTCCAAATTGTGAGGTAAATATTCATATTTTCTTTATAATAATTGTTTGTAATTTTATAAATTGTCCATCAGTGCCTTTACCTTCTTTCTAATACTTTTTGCTTTAACTTTTTATTATTCTTTGAATTTATCTTTGTACACATTTGTAACTTTTGTGTTTTTCAAATTTATATACAATTCAATGCCTATTATTCACATTGATTTGTAGATCCAGTTTAGCTATAAGTTTCAGTAATTCTGTTAAGCAAACACTGTACAAAAAAGAAACTTGACTTGGATTTGTTGATAATTTTTCGTATGCTGATTGAGTGTTCAGCTTGATAATCTACAGTATAAAAGTTAGTACAAAAGTAATTAAATTTTTACTTCTTTAACTAGAGTGGATTGGTATAGCTTTGATGTTCCGCGCCGGGAGGAGGGAGAGGGGGGAGATTTTCAAAGTACGAAGTATTAAATTAAATCTTTATTATTCTTTCAGTGCATGCCATTATTTTCATTATTTCGAAAATCTAATAAGTGAATACATGCTTACATTCTCAAGCACTAGAACTTTCATAGTAAGTTTATTATGTTAGAATTATAAATGTCCAGCAAACTTAGAACAATTTATTACATTTGAATAAAATTAATTGACTTATATGTTGTAATAATATTTATCTATAAAATTAGAAAAATGCCAAGATTGAAAGAAGGTGAAACTCCTAAAAGTAATCGACATATTCGGAGATTAGTAAAAAGATCAACAGACAGTGAATTGAAAGAGATTTTAAAAAATACATTTAAAACCGACAATGAGTCAGCGACTTTTTCTAAATCATTGCAAGATTCTATTTTATCCGAGTCTGCTTTACTCGAGCAAGATAGCGCAATACAAAGAGAGCCCTTATCACAAAGTGCAAATGAAGTTTCTACCTCCACAGATATATTGTCTTCCTCTTTAGAGTTGCAAGAATTACCTGTATTAGATACTGGTTCGATTGATCAGGCTATTAATAATGAACCTAATCTACAATTTACAAATCCATTTTTAGACTTTAATAAAGATATTGGAAGAGCCATTCTGGTTATTATAGTTGTAGTAAATGTACTATTGAAGGTGAGTGGTTAAATAATCATGTTGCTTTTCCAGCAAAAAGCTTTGACGATTTGTTACAGAATTGTAACATTTTTTTAAGAACCGATGAAGGATTTTTTTTATTTTCAATATAAAGAGGATTATCAATTGAATGAAACAATCTTAAATCATATACCGTATGCTAATCTTGTTTCCAATGTTCCTCTTGATCCTATGCACTTAGTGTACTTAGGTGTTATGAAGCAATTGATAGCACATTGGCTTGGAGTTAGACGCAGTAATAGAAAAGTAGCTAAAATGTCAAATACTGAAATTCAACAAATATCTTTTAATTTGGAATGTTTAAAGAATTTATTACCTTCTGATTTTAATAGACGATCAAGATCTCTAAAATATTGGAAACAATGGAAAGCTACTGAATTTCGTCATTTTTTATTATACTTTGGAGTTTTTTTACTAAAGAACACTTTGAATCCTGTTGTTTACGAAAATTTTATTAAGCTTCATATTAGTATTACAATACTTTCCAATAAAAGTATGTTATGCAACGAAAATATTGAATTTGTTGAGACACTATTACTTCAGTTTTTAGAAGGGTTTCAAAACATTTATGGAAATGAAAATGTAACATTTAATGTACATAACTTAATTCATTTACCGAAAGATTCAAAAAAGTATGGTACACTAGATTTTTTTAGTGCATTTCCGTTCGAATCTTATATATGCATGTTAAAAAAATTTATTCATAAAGGCGAAAAACCGCTAGAACAAATTATGAGAAGATTATCTGAAAATGAATCTGTAACAAATTTTGTTGACAGTGTAACTACAAATAAACAGTTTGTCGTTGATAAGATTCATAGTAATGGTATTAAATATGATAATAAGTACGATTGTCAATATAAAATTTTAACTAAAAATGGCTGCCAAATAGATATTACCGACGAAAGAAATAGGTGTATCAGGCTTATAGATGGCACTGTTGTTGACATTTTAAATATAGCTAAAAGAAATGAAAATATATATATCATTGGTAAAAAATTTATGGACAGCAAAGATTTATACAATGTTTGTAATATTAGTAGTAGTACCTTGGGTATACAAATATTTAAATGCTTAAGTAAAGATGTTAAAGAATGGCCTTGTAAAAGTATCACCTGTAAAATTTTAAAAATTCCCTTTACGGAAGGATACATTGTTTTCCCCATTATACATACTTTTGAATGTTTCGAATCATAATTGATAATAATAAAAAAAACATATTTTTTGTATAACATAACAATCCACTTAAATTTTACTATCCTACCTTAAAGTCGGTAGAGATTAAAAATTTTTTTATCCGCGATGTTCAATTCGAAATTTTGCCAACATGGCAGAATTTAAGTTAATCAGCTAAACAATTATTAAAATATTCAAATCTTAACACACGCAGCACACTTATAAAAAGCTGCAAGCGGCAGTTGTGTTGGAAAAAAGCTTTACTTTATGCTGTTCAATCGATTTTACAAAAATCCCTAACTGATTGACGGCTAAGCGTACACTAACCAGTTTATTAATTGTTCTTTCTTTCTCTTCAAATCACGGCGGCTCGAAGGACGACAAAAACCGAGCACGCACGAAGTGGTCCGTATGGTGTCTTACATCATCGCGTTGCATACATACAGTATTTCGATACACAAAAGAAGTAGGAAAAGAGAGAAGAAGAAAGCCTTAAAATATAAGTAAAATACGCGTAACTACATATTGCATATGTTCTTCAATTTTAACCGAACAATTGAAATAGATTGATTTGTATACGCTTTTATTTAGTTTACTCCTGGTTCATGTTTTTCTGGATCATAAAAAAATTATACAAATTTGCTAATACAAATTGAAGATATTTCTAAGCTAGAAAAAAAATAAAAAAATGTTGCGTGTTCAGTTTGGAAAGTAATACATGAATTTGTGCTTCTTAGTTAATAAATAAAATATATTTATGTAATTTTAATGGACATTGTGATTTTGACAAGTATCAATTTCAATAAGCTTTATAATTTAGTCGATAGGAGGTAGGTGATAACCAATTAGTGGTGTTTGTCTGTTAATTGCTTGCATAGTAAAAAAATTTTCTTTTGATTATACATAGAACATACATAGTCAACTATGTACAAAAGTCATTCTGCACAAACTTGACAAAAGCTATGCATACAATTTTAAAATATCAGTAATGTCGAATTACAATTTTTTTAGTAAGTTATAATTATTATTTAGCTTTGTAAAAATAAAGTTTAATTAATTCATACAATATATGTGTATATATATATATATATATATATATATATATATATATATATATATATATATATATATATATATATATATATATATATATATATATATATATATATATTTATAGATGTATAAAAACTATGCAATTGTTATCGATGATCAGAATGAAAAATTGGTTGTTCCATACAAATGGTTAAATAAAGAGAAAACTACCATGTATTGGCCAACAGGTCAAAAGGATGTGACAAAATTGATTATTAATAATGTAAACGTGCAAAAAGATTGGGAGACGCTCAACATACAGTATATAAGAAGTTCAGGTAACTGTTGTATTTGTTATTACCGTTTAATAGATACAATTAAATTGCTCTTAAAACGATATGAAGCTGACAATCTAAATCAATTATTTTAATTTTATTAGTAAAGCTAGTTATAATTCTAAATAAAATAATGTTTATTAAAACCTTTTTGTATTGATTTTGTAGAAAATAATTTTCACTATAATTTAATTTTAATTTAATTAGATACATATACAGATGCAGTATCTGACATGAAGTTACTAGGTGATAAAGTTGATGAATTAACTGATCCGAGCGATGACAATCGTGTAAAAAGAACTAGAAGTGATAGGCACAAAAAAAAATTAGATGATTCTTCAGACGAAAATTCTCCTCCAAGTAAACAATTAAGAATAGATTATGCTACCGACATAGTAGATGGCAATAGTAATATTAACAAATCCTTTACAAACACTAGTAAAAATAATTTAATAGTTCCTGCAACAATAAATATCACTAACAGTGTCAAAGATACATCAACTTCCTCAAGTAATAAGCCATCGACGAGTCGAGTAACCGTCTCTATGTCAGTAAATGACGTTGAAGATACTGAAAACTATATTAGTCTGTCAGAGAGACAATTGTTGCTATTATCTTTAGGTAAAATGTTACATATACTACTATTTTCACATACAAACTGTAGTTAGCATTATCATTATTTTGCTTTATGTGCGATGATTCGTATACATTTTTAGTATTAAGTACATCAGGTCTTGATTTTTATTTAAAATGTAATTTTTGATTCACATGAAAATGATTTTATTTAACCAATACTATTCTCTTGTGCGTACAATTTTTTTATTTATTTGTTTTTTCTTTAGCCAATCAAAAGAAAATTATGACGAAGCTTAATAACTTCAACGCCAGAATTAATCAATTACAGTCAAATGTAAATATAAGTGGTGCTTCTCGCGAAACTCAGCACAGTCTTTCCGAGAAACACCTGCAAATCATAGCCAAGTACTTCCCAATCGATGAAGAAACAAAACTTTTGGCTACTGTGGAAGAAAAATTAAACAACCATTCCTTCTACACATTAGTTGTAAGTAACGTTGAAAATATTTTTTTCAATTTTAATATGATAAAAAGGTATTTTATGTCCTCCCAGCCTATAATTTGGCACCTTTGGTACTCATTTTTGGCTGGAAAGACGTAAAATTGTGTATAACCCAGCAGCGGAGGTGCCTTTTTGACAAAACTAGCAGTTTTTGAACCGAGCCGGAGGCGAATATATAAATAACTATTGCCACTCCGTGCGGAATGCTCGATTTTTCACACGCTAGGCTAAAATGTGCATGAGAAAATTGTGAGAATTGCCCAGTTACAGGCGCGTGTGTTTACAAATTGAATTTACTAAGAATTCAGCATTTTACTTCTTAGATGTATAATATTGTATATACACGTACTACTCTTATCAATAATAATTTATATTTTACAGATGTACCTGCAAATTGGAAAAATGTTTGAAAAGGTAACGTGTATTTAATTGTACTATGGTGTGCATTATTGAATTGTTTTTGGTAAATTGGCGTACTACACTATAAAGTTATAAATGAATGAGTTTATAAGTAATATATTTCAAAAATAATGCATGAAAATACTTATTAATATGTAAACATGAGAAAATGCGTTTGTATTTTAATGATTAAAAATGCTTGATCATGCTGGTGCTGAGATAAACTTATTTTTGTTCAGTAAACTTAACAAGTAGATAAACTATATCTTTTTTCAGGACGGGCGATAAACTATATCTTTTAATACAAGTGTAAAAAATTTATTTAGATATGTACGAAGGCTAATTTTTACAGGCATCTTTTTGTTGTAGCGCGAGTTGCAGAGTGTGGAAAATCGTTCTTTGCACATTTATTGACGAAAACAGACTATACTTACAACATGCGTGATTGTCATAACTTAAGTGTGAATACACGCAACACACTGTTAACACTTTATAGCTATAAATGATTTTTCTGTCGTTTAACCTTAAATTGATAACTTTGTACCAGATTTTGAGGTCAAAAGACAGAAAAATATTATCACTGTTTGCCATTACAGGACTGTCGCCGCCGGTCGGGAAGATACTATTTAATTATAGTTTTAGGAAGATTTTTAATTCGTCGATTGGTTACAATATGAACTTTTCCAAAAAAAGTTTTTTACTGTTTGTTATAACTGAAACGAGATCGATTTAGTTCGTTATTAAAAAAAAACCTATTTACTCCGAAGATTATTATTAAACTAACCGATCGGTTTAATTAAAGATTTCTTAAAAAGTATTTGTAGTTATCACCTTCAGTTATCTTAAGTTTAGTAGTATTATGTAAATATAAAGGGTGATGGTTACAACCCTAACTTGCATTCCTTGAAATTAAACAATTATTTATCGTATAACCAGTAGATAGATGTTAATAAAATGTAATATATCATAGCATTGGAAAATAGTATTAAATAAGCATACATATTACTTCCACTATAATTGAGAGAATAATAATGTGTACTTTCTTAATAAATTGAAAAGGATGAAGCACGTTTTATAATCCTAATTTCATACTGTTTTCCTTTCATCATATAAAGAGATCTTCATCTTTGTCATTTTTACTTTAAAATAGTATAACTATACTGATTACGCTGTTCTGTAGTCAATCTCTTTGAGTCAAATAAAATGGTTAAAAAAATAATAATCTAATTATTTTAAACGTTTTAATATACACTGACCTCGCCAGTTGTACTAAACAAAAGGAGAAAAATAATTATAATATACAACAAACGTTTGAGAAGAGAAACATCCAAATTTTGATGAGCTTTCTATACTTTATATACTTTTCTCAATTTATGCTACTAGTATCCATTGTGGATACTCACTATCTTTATAAATACTACTTTAACAATCTGTTCGTTCAATAAGTGCTCTTACTGGTATGAAACTACCCGTCCCGTAATATATGTCTTATATACTTTTATGTAAATATACAGGTAACCTTTGTAAGTGTGTGTGTGTGTGTGTGTGTGTGTGTGTGTGTGTGTGTCAGGTAGTATAAGACATGTTTTACAGAATGGGTAGTTTTATACTAGTGAAGTGAAAGCGCTAGTTGAACGAGCAGCATAATGACTGCATAATGTTGAAGTGGTAGTATTTGTAAACCTAACGTGTATGGTTACTAATAATACTAACAGAAAAAAGAAATTAATTAATCTCACCAACATTTGAATGTTTCTCTTCTCAAACGTTTGTCGTACTATATTATAAATATTTTTTTCCTATTCTTCAGTAAAGCTGATAAAGATAGCGTAACTATCGAAACATTCAAAATAAATTAACTAGTTTTTGTTTTTCATGATTACATTTGACTCGGGAAGATCATAAACAGAACAGCTTAAAAATGTGGACAAACCTAATAATAAAGTACTATTCATACTATTAATTCATTGACTTACATAAACTGCTTTCGATTTATTTTGGATAATGTTTTCCGTAATAAATTAATTAAATTTATACATTTTTTATTTTTAGTATTCTAGCATAAAAAATGTTGGTGGAACAAGTCCAAAAGCACATTTAGACGCTATGATGAAATACCTTGTAACGGACAAGGTCTTACAGGAGTACAGCTTTACTGGTCAAAGCAAACGAGCTAATCTTCAAAATAAAAGCTTTGTTTCATTACAGCTATACAAAGTCATTTTTCGTAAGTACCATTTTATCTTTTCTTCTCTATAATAAAACATATTTTTAGCAAATTTCTCTTTGTTTACTTTGGTTAGATTGTATGAAAACTCTTTATGGGAGTGAAATTATTACTGATAAAACTATCAACCGCTACATTGCCAATAATTTGGATACAGCTCGTACAAGAATTATACGACAAGAAAAGTAAGTACTCATTTAAAAAAAAATATATATATATAATAACAATTATAATTTATAATTTCAGGAAGGGTGTACAAAATCAAACATTGCCGGCACTAAGTCTTTCTTTATTGTTTGATGAGGATGAATTGGGAGAATAATCTTAAAATATTGAAACATGATCAATATGATATTTCTTTAACATTATTTATTTATTATTTAATTTAATACTTTGATCAATATTACTATATTAATATTTATAACACCATATACTTAATATAACTACATTTGTTTTATTTTTGTATTTATGAAACTTTATATTTTTATTTATAATTAAGTTTACCATGATGTAAACACATCGTAAAAAAGCTTTTGTACGCATTACTGAGTATATGAAACGTTCATGAAAACACCTACCTTACCGGCATTTACAGAACTTGAAATATTGCAGAATCAAAGTTAGATTAAAAATAAAAACGCTTTTTTAGGGTGTAGATATATGTCCAAGAATTACTCAGTTCAAATTTCACGCAATTCTATCGAATGGTTCTTTCAAAATTTGGTCAAGCAGCACCAAATCTTAATAATTTCTTCAAGGTGTTATCAGGGGCGTTTCATATCTCCTTAAGGGAATTTCAATTCAGGATTATTTAAACCCCTAGCATTGCGTTAAGCACTTCCATTTTTTATTATTATTCGTTAAAATTGAAAGAAATTCAATGTGAAAATTCGATAAGAAATCTGCTTTATGTAATCTTTATAATGTATATCTAATATATATCCATATACTAGATAATATTAAAGTAAACATTAAATAAAGTATTGTACGTTTATCAATTATTTTATTTCGTGTTCTTCCATAATTATATAAAATATAGCACTTTTAATAATTTTTAAAATTTTACTTATATATTCAGTAAATAATTTATTTATAGTATATCTAGTTGTGTTATATAATTTTAAATATTTTCTATAATAATTCTAAAAGTAATTAGATAGTATTTTATAAAATAATTCTTGTGAAATGGATATAATCATTTAAAATTATTTCAGTGAATCAATTCTGTATTAATTTTACGCCAGCTTTTTATTACTTAAGTATCATTTTGAAAATTAATTTTGAAACAATTCAAAACATTCTTACTGTAATGATTTCAAAATTATTATGTTAATATTGCATAAAATAATTCTTCTAAAATGCATGTAATATTTGAAAATTATTTCAGTGAATCAATTCTGTATTAATTTTATGTCCGCTTTTTATTTCTTCAATATCATTTTAAAAATTAATTTTAAAACAATTCAAAACATTCTTATTGTAATGATTTCAAAATTATTACGATAATATTTCATAAAATAATTCTTCTAAAATGCATGTAATATTTGAAAATTATTTCAGTGAATCAATTCTGTATTAATTTTATGTCCGCTATTTATTTCTTCAATATTATTTTAAACATTAATTTTGAAACAATTCAAAATATTCTTATTGTAATAATTTAAAAACTATTACGTTAATATTTCATAAAATAATTCTTCTAAAATGCATGTAATATTTGAAAATTATTTCAGTCAATTAATGTAGAAATAATATTCGTTATATTTCTGAAGGAAAAAAAAGGGACATAAAATTAATACAGAATTAATTCATTGAATTAATTCTAAAATAATTATATTATTTCATGAATTAATTTTGAATTATTTTAGAATTAATTCATGCTGTGTGGGATTTATCAATCATGAAAATAACAGACAATCGTCAGAGACGCTGATAGTAGGACGTAAATAAAATTCTGATAATACTATCATTCATATACCAAAATTTTTGCGCATCCGAGAAACTATACTTATCTTCTAGGTATACTTATAATATTATATTATTCTTGACTTGTTTTTTTATATAATGAAAGTTATTTATTTTTTGATAGAATTAATAAACGATAGAACGTACAAAATTTAAAAGAGAGCAACAAAATAGCTATGGAATCATAGCTTATTCAATTTAGAAGAGATTGCAACGATATGTCAGAAACTTTTTTTAGGATGGTTTTTCAACATTGAGGGTGGTTTTGAAAATAAGTTTGAACAGGTAAATTTTTTATTCTTATTCTATCCACGGTAATATTTTTTCCAATTTTTTTAAGCTCATTATGAACTTTTTTTCAAAAATAGGAATAAAGAAGGTAAAAATTTCGATGACATAAATTAGGGGTTGCAACCCTCGTGGTCGAAACTGCACGAGATAAATGTGTTTGTGCATTATAAGTGATGAGCAACGTATTTTACAGTAAATTATCAACACCACCTGTAATGTATTGAAAACAATTTTTTAGGGGTGGTTTTTCAACTTTAAGGGGGTAGTTTGAAAAAAAGCTTGACTAGATTAACTTTATTTTTGTATTTTATGTAGGGTAATATTTTTTCCAATTTTTTTCGGGTTATTTTAATTTTTTTCATAAAAATAGCCATGAAATAGATAGTATTTTAAATAAAAAAAATAAGGGTTGCATCCCTTGTGGTCGGAATTGCATGTGCTAGTTTGCTTTTCACATGAGAAGTGATATGAAATTTGTTTGGTCGTAAAATATCAATTAGATGCTGAGATACATTGGAAAATCTATTTTTGGGGGTGAACTTTGAGGGTTGTTTTCATCCCCTCAAAGTATTTTTCCGCCGATAAAAAAAATACGTATGTCTTATTTTTTGATGAACTATAACATATCAAAAGATTATTGAAATCGGTGAGGTCGGGTTGGGGAGGTTTCCTTGTTAATGATCTATGTGATACTTTATTGGTCGACTCATCAGTTACATCTAATTCGTTTGGAATGGATTCCTGTAAGGGTTCAATTATTGATACGTTTTCATTCTGTATAGTAGAGTCAAAATTTTCTTCTGAAAATGTTCGACGTAGTCTTCTTATCAAGCTATCAGTGTGACTACTTGAATGGGTTAAATAATCATTGCTTGCACTTGAAGTTGAATTGAACTCAAGCATGTTAGATGCATCACTAATTTCTTGACTTTCGTTATCGACAATACTTTCAATTTCCTCCTACAATCACAATAGTTTCAGGTTGGATGATTCACAATTGTTGCAGTTTCGATATTTTAATTACTGAAAAGATTAGATTTATTCTTATTCTTACCATTATAAATTTTCACAGATAAAGTGGCCAAATTTTTGTTAGTAAAATCACGAATACGTCTGTATTATTTAGATAGATTTTTCTTATGAATATAGAGCAGCCCAGAATATCACAATGAATGCTGAGGTTGGCGATTGTTTTGAAAAAACATTTTTTCTCATCAAATCTAATTGTTCCAATAATTGTTCTTATAACGGTGGCATATAAATCGTTGGATATGTTTTTGTTCTCTGCGGTCACGCGTGATTTGCAATCAAAAATAAGTTATGATCGAGAGCACGATTTTAGTATTACATTTAAGGCCCATGACTCATACACATTATTCGTGTGTATGTGACGTGTGACTGCGAGTCATGTGACTTATACACAAAAGTTTTGAGATTACAAAAGAAAATTGTTTACCCTATCTTTGTTCTACGGATTTGACCACATTGCCACATTGTCTTTCTTATCGTCCGTTATTTTGGAAAAAGTACTTATCAAAAATGGAGGATTTAGAATATTACGCCAAAATAAAGTATATAGACGACAATACCAGACAAATTGTACCCGTCAGGGACATTATTGAATTTCAAGATAATCCATCCGAGGCAATTGATAAATTCAATAAAAATTCAATTTATACTATCATGTGGGATGATGGGAATTCTGAAATTGCTACAGCAATTCAAATTTCATCGATCAAAGGTACGTATTTAGTTTTTATTTTTCTTGAATTTCTTGCTTTACCTTTTACGTTGATTTTTGCTTGAAAACAATCTGGCTGACTCAGATTGATTTGGACGAGTGGTTCTTTTTTCATTTTTATGTCTGGATTGAAAAGGTTATCAAGTTGATAAGAATTTTCAGGAAAATTTCATTATAGATAACATCATTTCTATTTTGCTAACTTTTATGCGTACATGAAGATATTCGTGTGATTCATCATCTTGTAGGAGTTCCTCTAATTTTTTAAATCTAGATGTCAACAAGTCTCTTTCGTCATTTGACAAATTGATGAAATCTTCCTCATCACTACTATCCTCATAACAAGCATTTACGTCAAATGGAAATGAATCGAGGCCCTATAACAGATAAATATATCAATTTCAGTACTTCGTGTTAATGATAAACACCCTCCTGAAAATTGAGAACAAGTTCTGACATCAGAACTGGTATCAGAACTTGCACAAGAACTGAGATGAGCTCTCGTACAAGTTCTGATACAGGTTCCTGTGATAGGATTTTGATTTATGAAAATACCATACAAGATGAGTTCTTGTGTGAGAACTTGCATCACAACTTGTATCAGAACTTGCCAACAATGAAATATTTAAAAACGTTGTTTGTAATTATGAAGAAGACAGTTTTTTGGTCCATTCAAACAAAACCATAAGAAAGGGAATTCATTGCATACTTATTTTTCCTCGCTAGTTTGCAAGATTAAAATTTTCAACCAAATTTAGGTCGACATTCTGTTAAGAAAATTGCCTCACACTCTACTAGTTAACAAAAGTATAACAAGAGGAATAACAGGGTCTATAACTTATACATGCTGCCTAATATCGTGCAGCTGAGCGTCTGAGGAGGGCTCTTCTATCCTTAGCGAGGAGTCCAATCCAATTTTTTGAACCTTATTTTGGAACTTCACTTCGACTGTTGAGCTCGTCCTGTACGGACGTGTGATGAAACGCTCGTGAAAAATCTGAGAAATTCTAAGTTTATTCTAAGTTTATTCTAAGATTATTTTAAAACACATTTATTCTCGAAATTAAACAAAACGCAGCCAGTATGGCTGAAAATAACCAAATAGTGCAAAAAGAAAAAACAACCGAAGAAACAACAGTATGGAAAACAGTGCAAAACAAAAGATTAAGAAGTAGCCCAGAAGAAAATCGTTTATTCAAGAAAAGACAAACTTATATTAAAGACTATTGGCTTGGTAATTCCAATGACACAGTTACACTGAACAACCAATTTGAAGTGCTGGAAGTAACGGAAAATAACAAAAACAATAAAAAGGAAAACGAAAACGTAAACACACCAACGTCATCACAGGTAGTCAGAAAACCAGCAAAATCACCGCCGATATTCGTAAGTGGCGTATTAAATATTAGTCCCCTAAAAGCCCTTTTAGATCAGGTTACAAAAAATGAATACACCCTAAAAGTATTGCCAAATAATGAAATTAAAATTCAAATAGAAAATCCGGAATTATTTACCCCTACAATAACTGAACTAGAGAGAAAAAACACCAACTTTTATACATTCCAAAAGAAAGAAAACAAACCATATAAAGCGGTACTTAAAAACATTCATCCGTCGGTTGATTTACAAGAACTTAAAAAAGAAATAGAATCGTATAACCACAGCGTAATTAGAATTTCGAACATTAAACACAGAATAACAAAGCAACCACTACCTATTTTTTTCGTTGAAATTAAAACCAATGTAAACAATAAAGAAATATACGAAATCAATAAATTAATGAACCAAATCATTAGCTTCGAGCCCCCGCGTAAAAAGCGAGACATTCTACAATGCATGCGATGCCAAGAATATGGCCATACGAAAAACTATTGCCATAGGTTGCCTGTTTGCGTGAAATGTGCGAAAAATCATTTCACGGCAGACTGCCC